TTGTAATCCCAGCACTTGGGGAGGCCAAGGCGGGCAGATCACGAGGTCAGGAGTTCGAGACCAGCCTGGCCAACATGGTGAAACCCTATCTCTACTAAAGACACAAAAAATTAGCTGGGCATGGTGCCGGGCACCTGTAATCCCAGCTACTCGGGAGTCTGAGGCAGGAGGTTAAACCCGGGAGGCAGAGGTCGCAGTGAGCTGAGATTGTGCCATTGCACTCCAACCTGGGTGACAGAGCGAGACTCCATCTCAAAAAAAAAAGGGCAAAACTCTGTCTCAAAAAAAAAAAAGAAATATTTCATGAATGAATGAATGAATAAGTAAATGAATGATATACTCCTCAGCAGCCTGTTTGCAACTCAGAAAACCAGTAGCAAGCATCAAACATCCCCAGGGCCACCCCCTGGGCCAGCCTCCATGAAAGGCTGAGTCCCCCTCTCACCTTGGCCAGGACTGGAGAAGTGGTTGTAATACTGGGACACATAGGTCATGATGCTGAGGCAGTCAGGGACGCTCATGGAGACCATGTCACTGGGGTCCAGGAGAGCAGGGATCCCCAGCTCCTTCTCAGCCACTTCAAAGGCCTGGGGCGGTGACAGGTGCAAGGGTGGAAGCAGCCACAGCAGGAAGAGGAGGCCAAGGAGGAGGCAGCGTTAGGGGGCGACCCTCAGCCTAGGCTCAGCTCCCCTCGGTGGGATGGGGTGACTGTGGGCTCCCCTCAGTATCAATCCCACCCAAGCGCCACAGGACGGCCTAGAGAAAAAGGAAGCCTGGTGCTCCATGCATGAGGGGGTTGGTGGGAAGTAGAGAGTGGGGAAAGGTGCAGCCAGGGCCGGTGTACAAGGGCAGCCACCCTGCAAGACCCCTGCCCTCCCCACCAAACACACACACACACATACACACACACACACACACACACACACAGAGCCTCTTGGGCTTCCATCTGTCCAGGAACTTACCAAACGGTTATTCTCGAAGACATTGTCCTTGGAAAGCGAATCAAAATCTCTGCAAGAGGCAAAGGGAGGATGATTGGTCAAGAGGGGAGGTGACTGGGGAATAGGGGCAGGGTCAGAGTCAGAAAGGAGCTGAACAGAGAAGACCTTGTCCCGGCCAGCTTCAGCCTCAGCAGGGTTGCTGGGGAGAGTCTGTGGATTACTGGGGGGGAAACTGAGGCAGCAAACACTTGCTGCTAGAGCTGGAGCTGCCAGGGCAGGGCAGGGCGTGAGCTCACAGACCCTGGAGGCATCCAAGCAGAGGCTGGGAAATCACTGAGAAGGGGCGGGGCTCAAGCCCAAGCTTTCAAGCTTTAGATCCCTTCCCTCTTTCCAGGAAGCCACCTCTGGAGTCCGTGGCAAAGACACAACTAAGACCCGCATGTGACCTCACCCAGGGCGCGGTGCTGGGCTCCGCTGTCTCATTTACTTTCTTTTCATAGCAACTCTGTTTGGCAAGAATCGATCTCATTTTACAGATAAGGATACTGAGTCCTGGTGAAAGGAAGCCATCAGCCCTGGGAATCCACATGCCTCGCCCTTCCGCTGCTCACAGGCCCCTGCAGATGTATCACGTACTTGGAGAAGCCACACCGATTTGCTGAATCCCAACCCAGTCCAGCTTGCAGATGAATGTTTTTCATAATGGGGCCACGAATAAAAGAACAAGTTTGAACCAGAGTGGAAATCTACATACTCTGGAGCTGCTAGCACAGAACAGCTGGTTGGCCCCGCTGGGCCACTCCTGGGGCAGCTTCCATTGGGGAAGCAGTGAGGGATTTTCTAGTTTCTAAACTGGGACAGGTGAGAGGCGGCAGGGCCTGTCTGGGGACCCCAGCACGGGACAGCTGGCTGGCCTGCAGGCTTTATTTATCCCCCCTCCTCCCTCCCCACTCCAGACCGCTGAAACCAGCAGAGGCAGCTCAGGCTTCCCGCCGTCGGCCTCCTGGGTGCACCCGCATGCAGCCTTGCCCTTCTATGGCTGAAAACTGCAGCCCTGACTGCCAGAGACGGGTGGGCAGAGGCAAGAGCAGGCCACACCGCCTCTGAGGGCTGAACTCCCATGTGACCATGGGTTGGGGGGATCAGCAGTCCTTCCAGTATTCATTGTTCCATCTGCAAATCAGGGAAAGCACTAGTACCACCTCCCAAGCTGGTGGAGTTCCAGCTTGGTAAAGAGCAGGCCTCGCAGATATGAGGGAGCTGGATAAGCACAGCCCCTCCCCCTGCCCCCAACACTTTTCCAGGCAGGGGCCAGGGACTGTGAACCCTGGGCAGGAAAGAGTTGCTTGAGGACTCTGGAAGGAGTCTGGTGCCCCAGGGCTCGGTGGACAGGGAGAGGGAAGGTGACTATGTCTGGGCACCAGCTCCCTTTTTGCCACTCTGTCCAGGCCACTTCCTTCTCCCCTGGGCTGCCTTCCTAGCTCCCCTTTTCTGCCACTGCCTCAGAGTGCGACCTTAGCAAGCTGTTTCACCTCTTGAAACCTCCATCTCCCAGTCCGGTACATGACACTGCGACAGGGTGAGGGAACACCATGGTACCCAGCCCCCAACAGAGGCTTGTTCCAAGACCATATGAGACAAAAGCAACTTGTCTCAGCCATTTATTTCAGTCACCCCACAAGTGTTCCTAGAAGGCTGGGGTCACATTCTATCCACTCTGTGCCCCCAATTCCCTACACAGTTCCCCAAATTTCGAAGACACTCTGTAAATGTTTGTTGAATGAATCAATGCTGAAAACAGTGTGAAAACTGTAAAAAAAAACTTCAGGATCCTGCAGGTTTTCCTCCAACTTCTTCCACCCCCATCTCTGTCCCTAATTAACATCTGTGTTTTGGTAACACATATATTTTCTGAGAGTCCTCCGAGGCCCACGGAGTTCTACTTGGCTCTGGGGAAAATGAAGGACGCAGAAATGAAACCCACATGGTCCATGCCCTCAAAGGAGCTTAAACATGTCTGGATTTCGGGTGGTGCGGAGGGATGGCCCAGCCCCCACAACCCTCGTCCCAGCAGAGCCCTGGGCCAACACTGGGTTCACCCAGGCAGGGCCCACGACCCCAGAAGCCTGAACCACTTTAAGAGATGATTCTCGCCCTCACCCTAGGCCCTCACCCCTACTCTCACAGAGATCCTCCCAACCCACGACTGAGGCCTTCCCTACACATTATGTGGGACCTGGGCCTCAGCTTTTTTCCTGTGCAATGGACTGACAGCATTGCAAATGAATGCCTGGACATGATTCTGGATTCAGAAGGGGAGCCGCCCTCCCCTGCACAATTTTTCCAGCCACATCCCTCCCTTGCTTAAAACTTATGTGGCTCGGCCAGGCTTGGTGGCTCACGCCTGTAATCACAGCACTTTGGGAGGCCGAGGCAGGTGGATCACCTCCGAGGTCAGGAGTTCCAGATGAGCTCGGCCAACATGGTGAAACCCCATCTCTACTAAAAACTACAAAAATTAGCCGGGCATGGTGGTATGTGCCTGTAATCCCAGCTACTTGGGAGGCTGAGGCAGGAGAATTACTTGAACCCGGGAGGCGGAGGTAGCGGTGAGCTGAGATCATACCATTCATTGCACTCCAGCCTGGGTGACAGGCCTCCATCTCAAAAAAAACAAAAACAAAAACAAAAACAAACCCGCAAGGTTCCCTGAGGCCCCTATCCATGCTTCTTAGCCAGCAAAAGCAGCTGTCAGCCATCTGTCCCAACTGCATCTCCCAACTCGCTGCCTTGTGCTCCCCACTCAGCTACACGGCCTCCAGCTCTGCACACACCTCCCGCCCCTCGCCTTTACTCAGACAGGGTCCTCTGCCAGAACGCCCACCTGGCGGCCCTCACCTGGCTCCTGCCATCTCCTTGAAGACTATATTCTCCCTAGGAGGTCTCCCACCCCTAGCCCTCTGATAGGGTACCTGGAATTGCCATCATCGTTTATACATGTTTCCCGTACAGGTGTGGGAGAGCGTGTAGGGTTGTCTGTTTTGTTGGCTGGTACTTCCATTACCAGGTACAGTGTCCAGCACAGAACAATAACTCTACAAATACTGGTTGAATAAATGAAGAAATCAAACATTGTTATTGGGCCAGGCATGGTGGCTCATGTCTATAATCCCAGTACTTTGGGAGACTGAGGCAGGCAGATTACTTGAGCTCAAGAGTTCAAGACCAGCCTGGACCACATGGCAAAAATCCATCTCTACAAATACAAAAAAATTAGACAGGCGTGGTGGCGTGTACCTGTGGTCCCAGCTACTCGGGAGGTTGAGGTGGGAGGATCACTTGAGCCCAGGAGGTGAGGACTGCAGTGAGCCATGATCGTGCCACTGCACTCCAGCCTGGGTGACAGAGTGAGACTCCGTCTCAAAAAAATTTTACAAATTATCATTATTCCCCTATTGCCTATAACACTACTTACAATAACGAATGTTAACTGAATGCTTATTATCGCATGCAATCCTCACAACAATTCTATGAGCTGTGTCACATTACCAGTCCCACCTCACAGATGAGGACACTGATGCCTGGAGAGAGCCCATGAGGACCCAAGGCCGTGCACCTAAGACATGGAGAAGCTGAACACAAACCAAGCGGCCTTTACTTTGATGATGACAGGCTCAGGCCCATCAAATGGCTTCACTTCACACCCAAGTCCCCTCCCACACTGGGTTTGTCCCTGCTTCCTGCCTCACTCCTGCCCCTCAGACAGAATAGAAGACCCCTTGGGCCCTCCCTTCCAATGCCCAGGTCCAACCCTGGTGCCCTTTTCCTCCATCCTTCTACCCCCTGCTCCTGGGCAACCAGGCATCAATCTTGTGCTTCCATTAGTATGGGTGTCACATGCCCCACAGCGGGCAGGGACCCACCTACATGGCCACCTCATCTTGTTCCCTTCTGTATCCACAGCCCCAAAACCCTCTCCTCCAGGGCCCAAGCCACGACCCACAGACATGGTACTGCAGGGTACATACAGGTAAACCAGGTGCACCTGCACCATGGAATCCCGAGGCAATCCCTTAGAAGTCCTCCCACATGCTGCCCTTGGAGAGTGCAAATCTGGAGGAACAGGCACAGAAAGCCTCCACCTGCCAGGCCGGGGGGGCCCTGGCAACAGTGCTGCATGCAGAAGGCGTAGGGACCAGAACTCTCCTCCCTGATTCACAGGTGAGACCTGAAGTGCAAGGAATGGCACCACAGAAACTCACCCAGTGTTTTAGGAATGAATGGACGAAAGGAGAAGAGGTTCTCTGCTCAAGGCAGAGAGAGCAAAGACAGAGGCTCCAAGTCAACTGTTCTGGGGAGTCTGAACGCATTTTCCCATGAGAACCTCACTGGGCAGCTCTGGGCAGGAAGGGGCCATTTCACAACCTGCAGCAGCCGGTTGGTGTCTGTCAATCGGATCCTAGGAGTCTTCCCAACATCGCCAGTCCTGTGACTCCTCTTGCGCGCCCCACCTGCGTGCCCCACTGAGGAGGGCAGCAGGGCCATGGAGCACACACTCGGGAGGCAGGGCTGCGTCCTAACTGGGGAGGAGTGGGGAAAGCACAGGGTCTGTACATCCGTTCATCCAACACCTGTTAACCGAGGTCTCCTCTGCGCCGGGAACTGTGCTAGTGTCTGGAGACAAACTCCTATTTGGGGGGTCAGAGAAGTGAGGGTTCACCTGCACACCCGGAGCAAGGGGCCACCCCATGTGGGAAGCCTCGGGGGAGAGGGGAGGCACAGCGCAGAGGAGTTTAGGGTAGGAGAGGCCCAGGGCCCCCAAAGAGGGCTCAACACCCCTTCAAAGAGGTCAAAGGCTTAGGGGTTCAGTGATCCTCGGCGGAAATCAGCGCTCTGTGGGCGGGGCCGCGTCCCTCGCGGAGGGACCGGCCTCTGGGGGGGGGTTTGGGGTCCTAGGGGCTGGGTCAGGAC